TCCTTTGGAATGTGTAGGGAAAGTGGTGTATTGCTGTAAATCAAAACTGTCCAGGCAGGATGTAAAGTCATGGGTAAGGGGATTATTACTGTTGTCAATGTGAATGTTGAAATCTCCCAGCAGAATAACATTTGAGGTGAGTGTGGTAAGATGGGTGAGAAATGTAGAGAATTCAGTTAAAAAATCCTTGTTAGGCTTAGGAGGTCGATAAACTGTGGCAATTATTGTGGGGACAAAACCAGAAAGCTGTGAAACAATGCATTCAAACGACTTTGGAGCTGGATAAGAGACCGGCGAGACTCTCCACATCTCAAGGTAAATCATCGCAAGACCTCCTCCCCGGCAGGAGTCACGTGGTTGACTGGTGTAAACAAACCCGGGAGGAGTGGAATCGTTCAGGGACGTAAAGTCATTGGGCTGTTGCCACGTTTCAGATAAACATAGAAAGTCAAACTTACGGTCAGTGAGGAGATCATGAACAAGATGTCCTTTACTTGTAAGCGAGCGGATGTTAAGCTGTCCAATGCTGACGCTGGCGTTGGTGTTGCCATGGTTACCGTGTAAACCAGGTTAGCAGGCCTGGCTAACACGCTGGAGTCAGCAACCCGGCCAGTGTTCCGAGGAGGGCGTCGAGATGTGGACCAAATGGACTTGATCTGACCCGAGTTGTCCAAGTGGAACGACCGACCGGATCCTCGGTGGATGTATCTCCGGCGGAGAGGAACAGCGATGTCCGGCGGGAGGTGAAGCACAGCCGGCGAGTGCCCTGTCGCGTGAAAGCAGAGACGAAGCAGCTCATCAGCAGAGTACTGCAGGATTCCTGTCACTGGTTGATGGATTAAACTCAGGAGGAACCAGAGGATCCCGGACCAAAGGCAGGAGTTAACACCCAGCATTGTAGGCAGGACAGGCAGCAGTACGTCCAGGTAAGCCAGTCAGTCAGGTGAAGCAAAGGTAGGTATCCGTCCAAGAGCGTTAGCACTGATAGCTCATCAGAATTAAAAGTATGAATGAAATGATGAAGATGTCAGTGTGGTGTCAGTATGACGTCAGTGTATTGTCAGTATGACCTCAGTGTGGTGTCAGTGTGACCTCAGTGTAATATCAGTATGACCTCAGTATGATATCAGTGTGACCTCAGTGTGATGTCAGTATGACCTCAGCGTTACGTCAGTATGACCTCAGTGTGATGTAAGTGTGACCTCAGTGTTACGTCAGTATGACCTCAGTGTTACGTCAGTGTGATGTAAGTGTGACCTCAGTGTGATGTCAGTGTGACCTCAGTGTGATGTCAGTATGACCTCAGTGTGGTGTCAGTATGACCTCAGTCTCGTGTCAGTATGACCTCAGTGTGGTGTCGATATGACATCAGTGTGATGTCAGTGTTGGAGTCAACATATATTTATCTCACACGGTGGCACCAAATATGCTGGGAATCAACATATATTTACCTAACTCGGCAGCACCATAAATGTTGGGGTCACCACACTAGGCTTCACACGGAGGTACCAAATATGTTGGGGTTTAATTGGCTATCGGAAATAATTAATAATTATTATTAATAATTAATAATTATGTTAAATAATGTGACTTAATTAACATTAAATCACCTCGTGGGGCACCATTCCCGTAAAGGGAAAAATGATAGCCAGTTAAAGATATCAGTCTCATAAAATAGGCTAAACTATTTATTTGGAGTTTAATAAGTTTAGTAATTAAATTAATGACAACAATCAAAATTAACAGTAACGCCTGAAGGATTTCGGTGTTCTTGACGCAGAAGAGGTTGACTATTCATTCACTCTTGTGCAACATTAAACAGACAGCAGGTATGATTCCAAAGAATTATATGTATTCACAAATTAGCAAACCAAAACACACAAATTCTAACTAACTATATACAAGCTTGGTGTGTATATGTGTGTGTGTGAGAGAGAGAGAAAGTAGAGAAAGACAAAGGCAGGTGTGGTGATCAAGTAGCCGTTTGGCCTACAAAACAAAATGACTGACAACAGAGAACTACCAAAATGGCCGAATCAAGGCTGGCTTCAGGGGGAGGTATTTGTCTGACCGTGTGGTCAGGACAAAGACAAAGGAAAAGAAGGGGGAACTTGGAGATGCCTGTTTGAGTGCAGCTCTGTTGAAAGCCATTGTTAATGAGTCTATGTCAATGTGACATGTGTTGCAAACGGTCTGGATTAGTGCAGAGATTGTTTAGTTGTGTGCAAGAATCTGTTTGTGAACAGTATTAGCAAACTAAACACTTAGCTTTGGCAAAGCCAACTAATCAGTGACCTAACTGCAATCTATCACAACAATAACTCAGTGAACAGCATCAAATCACATACAACAAGTCAAACAGTCTTGCTTAGCCTGTAAAGCTGTGATAAGCTATGCTCAGTTGTTACATTACCGATCTTTGAATGGATGGAAGAAAGAGTCACTTGGTGGTGCTGCTCTGTTAGCCGGCAGAAGAAGGCTGGGAAGATGGTTTCAGCTGCAGTCTTTGTTGGGTCCTTTGTTCCAAAGGTTCTGATCCGAGGTAGCTGGTCGCTCGGGGTCCTTGCAGAGTTAGACGCTGGGTGCTAACTCACTTAGATCCTTGTTTATGGAAAGCTGATTGCAAACCTTGTATTTGCAAGAGAGTCTGTGATCAGTTGCCCTCACTTTGGTGGTTTGGGCTATGGAGCCAGGGTCTAGGCCTCTGGACTGTTCCAGGCCCAACTGGAGAGAGATGTGAGCTGTTGAAGCTCCTGGAGCAAGAAAAGAAAGAAGGCTTGGAGGGAGCAGAACTACAGATGCCTGTGACATCACTGAGTCACATGTCACTGTAAAAGGTCTTTTCCAATCAAGTTTTGGGACTTGAGTCTCACTGAGGTGTGAGGTGAGACCTCCTGTCGAGATGGGTGCCACCTAGCTCTCTTTGTTTGAAGACAAAGAGCATGCAGAGGAAAAAGCCTTTAAATTGTCCAGTGATGATTTTACCAAATGATAAATCATCTGTGATCCTGTGAATCCCAACATCAGTATGACCTCAGTGTGATGTCAGTGTGACCTCGGTGTGATGTAAGTATGACGTCAGTGTGGTGTCAGTATGATGTAAGTATGACGTCAGTGTGGTGTCAGTGTGATGTCAGTATAACCTCAGTGTGATGTAAGTATTACATCAGTGTGACGTCAGTGTGACCTCAGTGTGATGTCAGTATGACCTCAGTGTGGTGTCAGTGTGACCTCAGTGTGGTGTCAATATGATATCAGTGTGGTGTCAGTATGACATCAGTGTGGTGTCAATATGATATCAGTGTGGTGTCAGTATGACATCAGTGTGGTGTCAATATGATATCAGTGTGGTGTCAGTATGACATCAGTGTGGTGTCAATATGACATCAGTGTGATGTCAGTGTGACCTCAGTGTAATGTCAGTATGACCTCAGTGTGATAACAGTGTGACGTCAGTGTGATGTCAGTGTGATGTATAAAACGTTCCAAATGTGTTCTTCGTCATTGTTGTCTATTTTTCAGGCCGAACGTTCCAGCTCTCAGCTCAGGTTTTATCGTTGTCGTTCATCTGTCTGAGATTCACACAAACTATTTTGTCTTTCAGCTTTTTCAGGAAATTCACCAACAAGCACAACAACCTACTCAGTAACCACCGTTTGGTGACAGTTTGAGTTTGACGGTGAGATGAGACAAAGAGGCACCTGACCAGTCACACAAAGCTGAAGGAGCATCAGCCAACATATCATGGATGAGCACATGACATGAGACCACCACAACCTCCTGATCAAAGTGACCCGTCAACTCACCCCACAATCCTCCGTCAGCAAGGGTGGATTTGGTGTCGGCAGTGATGGCGGGAAACGTGCCGATGGTGACGGTAAAGGTGAAACAGACTGACAGAGCCAACAGCCATATCTGAAAGTCAAGGGTCAGCAGGCAGGAAGAAATACAATCAATCAGTTTAATTACAGACAATATAATGAATCATTTAATGAGGAGGATGATGATGGTTTCATCACGTCGCCCATCACAAATGAACTAAAACATTTTTGCTTCACAGATTTAAGTTAAAAAAGTTTTTATGTACAAAAAAAGTTTGTCTGGAATGTTGGTCACAGATTAAAACAAACTGATGCATGATTAATTATTGATTGTTTCATGTCATCAACACTGTGCTGAAGGTTATTGATTGACTGACATGAAAATTATTTTATTGATAAATCTGTGAAAAGTATGACAGTATGACCTCAGTGTGATATCAGTGTGACCTCAGTCTGGTGTCAGTGTGACCTCAGTGTGGACTCAGTGTGACCTCAGTGTGATGTCAGTATGACCTCAGTGTGACCTCAATGTGGTGTCAATATGAAATCAGTGTGATGTCAGTATGATGTCAGTGTGACCTCAGTGTGATGTCAATATGACATCAGTGTGGTGTCAATATGACATCAGTGTGATGTCAGTATGACGTCAGTGCGATGTCTGTGTGGTGTCAGTATGACCTCAGTGTGATGTCAGTGTGACCTCAGTGTGATGTCAGTATGACGTCAGTGCGATGTCAGTGTGGTGTCAGTAAGACCTCAGTGTGATGTCATTGTGACCTCAGTGTGATGTCAGTATGATGTCAGTGTGGTGTCAATAAGACATTAGTGTGGTGTCAATATGAAATCAGTGTGATGTCAGTATGACGTCAGTGTGACCTCAGTGTGATGTCAATATGACATCAGTGTGATGTCAGTATGACATCAGTGTGACCTCAGTGTGATGTAAGTATGACATCAGTGTGATGTCAGTATGACCTCGGTGTGGTGTCAATATGACATCAGTGTGATGTCAGTATGACATCAGTGTGATGTCAGTGTGATGTCAGTGTGACGTCAGTGTGACCTCGGTGTGATGTCAGTGTGACCTCAGTCTGGTGTCAGTGTGACCTCAGTGTGATGTCAGTATGACGTCAGTGTGATGTCAGTATGACGTTAGTTTGACCTCAGTGTGATGTCAATATCACATCAGTGTGATGTCATTATGACGTCAGTGTGATGTCAGTCTGACCTCAGTGTGGTGTCAATATGACATCAGTTTGATGTCAGTATGACATCAGTGTGACCTCAGTGTGGTGTCAGTATCACCTCAGTGTGATGTCAATGTGACCTCAGTGTGATGTCAGTGTGGTGTCAGTGTGGTGTCAGTGTAATATCAGTATGACCTCAGTGTGATGTCAGTGTGATGTCAGTATGACCTCAGTGTGATGTCAGCATGATGTCAGTGTGATGTCACTGTGACCTCAGTGTGGTGTCAGTGTGATGTCAGTGTGACCTCAGTGTGATGTCAGTGTGACCTCAGTGTGATGTCAGCATGATGTCAGTGTGACCTCAGTGTGATGTCAGTATGACATCAGTGCAATGTCAGTGTGGTGTCAGTATGACGTCAGTGTGACCTCAGTGTGATGTCAGTATGACATCAGTGTGGTGTCACTGTGATGTCAGTGTGACCTCATTGTGATGTCAGTGTGACCTCAGTCTGGTGTCAGTGTGATCTCAGTGTGATGTCAGTATGACGTCAGTGTGATGTCAGTGTGGTGTCAGTAAGACCTCAGTGTGATGTCATTATGACGTCAGTGTGACCTGAGTGTGGTGTCAATATGACATCAGTTTGATGTCAGTATGACGTCAGTGTGACCTCAGTGTGGTGTCAGTATGACCTCAGTGTGATGTCAGTGTGACCTCAGTGTAATATCAGTATGACCTCAGTGTGATGTCAGTGTGGTGTCAGTATGACCTCAGTGTGATGTCAGCATGATGTCAGTGTGACCTCAGTGTGACCTCAGTGTGATGTCAGCATGTCAGTGTGACCTCAGTGTGATGTCAGCATGATGTCAGTGTGGTGTCACTATGACATCAGTGTGATGTCAATATGACATCGGTGTAATGTCAGTATGACCAGTGTGATGTCAGTGAAAACTGTGATTTTTGAGTGTCTAACCTTCTTAAAGATTTCTATCATGGGAACGCGTTGTTTATTCTGATCAGCTGCTTCGTCATTATTCTCTGCAGGAGAAGATGAACACACTTCATTCATTCAGCCTCGGATCAGGTCAGTCAATTAAACTGACTCCAAGTTTTTGAAAAATGTCACAACTGAAAGTGAAAGATAAAAAAAACTGCAGCTTCAAAATTGTGTTCATTAAACTGAAACCGTTATTGACAACATGAGCTAGTGAAACAAAAGCCAACTGAACAAAACACTAATTTTTTACCTCTGTTCATCAGATTTACTGAGTTGTTCTCGTCTGCTCTCTGTTTCCTGTTTCTGTCCTGATGAAACTGGAAAAACTCCTGAAAACACAAACACACCACATGGACACATTTCGCAGAGTTAAAGATCGGACTCTGTTGAAGGTTTGAGACAAAGTGTTCTTGACTGCTCCCATTAAGAAGCAGCACAGAGTTCACCTGAACTCCTGCAGTCCCCCGAAATATCAGCCAACTGTATTCTGCCCTCAAATGTAACAAAGTATATTTATTCAAGTACTATACGTAAGTACAATTCTGTGGTACTTGTACTGGAGTATCTCCATTTTTCTGCTACTCTTTACTTTTCTACTACATCTCAGAGGGAAGTACTAAACTTTTAATTGCACTACAGTTGTCTGAGAACTTCACATTATTGATACAAAATATAATTAATCATCAGTGATGGTGTTATTACAGATGAATAATCGATGATGATGATGATGATGATGATGGTGGTGATGAGGAAGATGATGTTATTACAGGTGAATAATCGATGATGTTGATGATGAAGATGATGATGATGATGATGATGTGTCATTAGAGATGAATCCACTCAGCAGAATATAAAGTCTTTAACATGAGCTCCACTTTCAGCAGCTGATCATCACATTCATACATCAGTTACATCATGTACAGTATTCTGCTGAAGGAGTACTGTTACTGCATGTACTTTAAGTACATGATGATACTTTTGTACTTCTACTTGAGTAAAAATTGAAAGCAGGACTTTCTACACTGTGGTGTTGGCATTTTTTCCCAAGGAAAAGATCAGAGTAGTTTTGGCACCACAGACTGTATCAATCATCAGTGTAAAGGATCCTACTGACAACACCACAGTCGTCTTTCAAGCTACTTGTGTTCTTTTCCTCAAACTTTCAGGAGCTATAAACTGTACATCACAAATGAATAAATAAAAAGCATCTGGGCTGAAGTTCGTGGTTCATATTTAATTTATAGAAGAACAAAGAACTGAGGTAAAATAACGCTGAGGATTAAAGATGGACAGCTAACGGCAGTTAACTCTCTGAGCTGAGAAGAGCCGGGATGATGAAGACAAGAGCTGAAAGTCACATTTGTTTTGTGAATGTGACTGGTCAGCCGGCGAGCTCACTCCTCCCACAGGCGCTTTTCAAATTCGAAAACAGGGGAGCACATCTTCAAATGAAGCTTCATAAACGTGCCAAATCTACACAGACGATTCTGAACTTAGTGAAGAACGTTATGAGAAACATTTTTGGATGGTTTCCTGCTTCTCACTCAAATGTAGAACAATGAATGTTGGGACACTTGTGCTGAAGTTACCAAGTGATGCATCCTGGGTAAAATGGGCGTATCCACATTATTTTCAGGAATTCCTTTGGCTGCTACGTTTCACCAGAACAGATCAGAAAGGCACATTATTATCACATCACAGCCATCTGTTCATCCAATCACATCCAGCTTTTACAGGAAACTGTTGGTGTGTCGTTGATCATGTGATACAGGTGAGCTCAGGTAAATAATCTGTCAGTGATGCAATGGATCCTTTAGTGATGTCACATTTAATCAACCTCAGCTTTCTGACTCCCAGGAACATCACTTCCTCCGTGTGTTTGTGTTTGTGTGTGTGTGTGTGTGTGTGTGTGTGTGTGTGTCAGTTACCAGTCGAGGCAGCAGGATGTAGGAAAGGATGGACAGAAAAATAACAACACAGGCTGTGATGAAATACCCAAACGCTGCATCATGAAGCTCTGAGCCACCTACACGAGAGGAAGGAAGGAAGTAAGGAAGGAAGGAAGGAGAGGAGTTAAAGAAGGAAGAAAAACAAAAAAACTACACTGCTCAAAAAACTGAAGGGAACATTTAAATCATCAGATCCTGATGAAGGAACGACTGGTTTCAGAAACAGAGTCTGATCCAGTTCATCATGCGACTTGTGTGTTTGGTCCCAGCTGCCTGAGGCTGAGGATGGTGTCCTGGGGGATCTCCTCTAAGACCTGGATCAAGGCATCACTGAGCTCCTGGACAGAGGCCGAGCATCATCCTGGAGGAACCCAGGGCCCGCTGCACTAGGAGGAACTCAGGGCCCACTGCACCTGAAGGAACCCAGGGCCCACTGCACCAGGAGGAACCTGGGGCCCTCTGCACCAGGAGGAACCCAGGCCCACTGCACCAGGAGGAACCCAGGGCTCTCTGACCAGGAGGAACCCAGGGCTCTCTGCACCTGAAGGAACCCTGGGCCCACTGCACCAGGAGGAACCTGGGGCCCTCTGCACCAGGAGGAACCTGGGGCCATCTGCACCAGGAGGAACCCAGGGCCCACTGCACCAGGAGGAACCCGGGGCCCTCTGCACCTGAAGGAACCCAGGGCCCTCTGCACCAGGAGGAACCCAGGGCCCACTGCACCAGGAGGAACCCAGGGCCCTCCGCACCAGGAGGAACCCAGGGCCCACTGCACCAGGAGGAACCCAGGAGCAGATAGCGGTCTTGCTGCTGGGTTGATGCCCTTCTACGGCCCTGTCCAGCTCTCCTGGTGTAACGGTCCGTCTCCTGGTATCTGGTATCAACCTGATTGGGCTGCAGGTGCCACCTCATGCTACCAGTAGTGAAAAGGACACTAGCAGAAGACCAAACTAGAGAAGAATCAGTCAGGAAGGATAAGGAGAGAACTGTCTGTGGACACCACATGTAAAACCATTTACTGTTTGTCTCTTCATTGTTCCTGTTGTGTCTTTGATTTGACCCAAAGCAGCCGAAACTGATTCATAATCACTGGACTGATCTCACTGAAGGTTAACTACTGCCTGTTACACTGTGACCTTTAACACCATGACCTTTAACACTGTGACGTTTAACACTGTGACCTCTAACACTTTGACCTTCAGTTTTTTGAGCAGTGTATTTAAAATTTTCATGATGTCACAAATCAGTCTTTAACTTCAACTGCTCATAAAGTTACATCTGATGAGTTATTGATGAGTTACTGAAGAGTTATTGATCAGACTTGTGATGGCGCAGATCATGGCGAAGGCAGCGAAGGTTCCAGCAAGTCCCTGACCACTCATGATTGGAGTTGTATATGAAGCTGGCAGCAATCCGGCCATCCCAAACAGACTGCCCTGAAGCACTGCCCCAAATGCTGTCAACAAATAAACAGAATGATCAACAAACAAACAAAGAGGGGTCTATTCCAGAAAGCAGCTTGAACAAACTCTGACCCCGAACTCTGACTCCAACCCTGGGCTCTCAGTCCGAGCCTGAACTCTGACTCTGACCCTGAACTCTGAGTCCGACCCTGAACTCTGACTCCAACACTGAGCTTTGAGTCCAACCCTTAACTTTCAGTCCAACCCTGAACTCTGAGAAAGATAACTAGAACAGCTGATCAGAGTCAGATCAGTCTGAGTTGGTTCATTCTGAGTTCAGCTTTTCTTCGGTGAATAAAAAAATCCATCATCAATGGAGCTGGGAAACTATGAATTACCATGGCAACAGGTAGATTAAAGGCATAGTCTCCATTTTAATCCAGAGAATGTAAAACATATTAATGAATGTTTACTGCACATTTATCTGAAGATCCAGCTCGGATTGGAGTGGGGGGAAGTGTCAGTAGTGTCAGTAACAATAAAGTTTTATTCAGTGTTGTGTATTAGTTCATCATTAAGGTCACACCCTACATCACATTTTAAATATATTTTTACAGCTTTAATCTGACGGGGACAAAAACTGAAGATGAAAAATATAGCTTGAGATAAAAACCAAGCTGGGAAACATGAGTGTTCTCAGACCCAGTGATCATGTGGTTGGTGACAGGGTGAACCTCCATCTGCTTCAACAAACATAGTAAAAACGGTCACTGAAATGCTGTTTAAACATGTTCAGACTTTTTACACAGTCTGTTTTCAAAAACTCATGTTCAAATTCTGTAGCTGCGTCCTTCTCACTCAGAAATATTAATCTCAAATATTACGGGAAAACCATCAGTGCGAATGATGGGGATGGTTATTGATTGATTGTACCTGTACCTGACTTTCACTGTTTAAACTGAGATGACTCAGAGATTATTTCACCTTCAGGTTCAACTAACTCAGAGTTGTCACTAAAGCCACTTTCTGAAATACACCACTGATCAAAAAACAAACAAACAGACTCACAGTTAATGATGACAATCTTCACCATGGTAATGGAGAAGAAGGGCAGCGGCTCCAGAGGAAGTTTGACGAGGATGGCGGTAGCGATGAAAACAAACATAATGATGATCAGACTGCCCATCACACGTAGACGCTGAGGAATACTGAGAACACAGAAAGAAGAAGAAGCTCAAGAATCGACTGAGAGCTCAGGAGGTTACAGGGACCAAAAAAGGTCAGACAGCAGCAGACAAAACACAGACAACATGGAGAATTAAAGACTGAAACACGAACAGAGATCACTGCTGATTGTGGATCACAGATCACTGTGAAGTCCTGAAGAACTTCTGGATCCTCCTGAACAACAAGATGTCAGAAAAGTTTTCTTCTCAACTTTCTGGACCCAGAAAACATATTTGTGGTGTCTCTTGAAGGGCCCAGGACCGCAGTTTGAGACCCTCTGGCCCTGCATGAATTCCAGAACTCTTCTTTGTTGGTATCAGTGTGTTGTAGAACTTTTCTTCATTGGTATTGTTCTGTTGCAGTACTCACAGTGAATGCAAGAAGGAGTTGAGGCAGGTGCAGAGGAGCAGCGGCAGCATGGCGCACAGCGTCATCACGTTGTTGAATTTGGCCTCCAGAATGCTCTGATGTTCACCTGCTGCCTCCGTCTGATTGGCTGAATAATGGACCAATGAGGAGTCCTTCAGGCGGCTGGTGAAGTACTGGAGATACAGACAGAAAGACTGAGTTATTTTGTTTTTGTCACGTACAGACTCAAACCATTAGGGCCCTGTCTCCCAGTTTCGATGTACCTTAGCGCTCTATGAAGGTCTCTAAGATATTCCTTAGCTAAGGGACTTCTTTTCCTACGAGTGTTTCCCAAACTGTCCCTTAGCAGGTGCTCGTAAGTTGGAGCTATCCTTCACCATGGTGCTGAAAGTGTATTTATCGATGCTGCATGCATTGATTGATCTCATATAAAGGTAAATAAATGGCGTTGTAATATAAAAAGAATTGGCATAATAATTTTACCTCCGGCAAATAATATATCATGAATGAGGCTGTGCCTTTTACAGAACATCTGCTCATCTGTTTGAAGCCTAGTCCACACATATACTGGTATTTTTAAAAGCAGTGCTTTAAAACTAAATTTCCATCCAGACGAGTGTTTCGACACAGTTTCAGGAAAAATCCCCGTCCTGATACACCTTAGGCATAACACATTAAAAATGACTTACATGTGCATCCCGTTATAAACTACTGATGAAGCAGAGAAACGTGATTGCTGCTCATCGATAATACATTTGTTATTGAAACATTTATAACAGTACGTGTTTGTCTCTCTTTCTCCATCATTGCAGTTCAATGCCAGTTTGTGTCGCACATATAAGTTTTCCAACATCAGTTTTGTCAATGTACAGACTGCAAATCTGTTGTTGTCACACAATAGGCATCTGTAGCAGCAGCATATCCACGTGTGTGTTTGTGTGTGTGTGTGTGTGTGCATGCATGCGTGTGTGCAGGAGTGACTCCCTTGTATAAAACCTCTCCAAGAGGACGCAGAGACGCAAAGAGTGAGTATGTTTTGATTGGGTTCCTCTTAATTTTTTCCTCAAGGACATCTCTGTGAAAAAAAACAACAAAAACTAAACAGTAGGAAATCTTTTCCAGGTGGTACAACCATGATGTTTCCCTGCAGCACTCTAACCCCTCCTCTATACCCGGGCTTACTGCATCCCCCTGTGGCTCTCTCCTCACCCCTGAACCAATCACTCCACTCAGGTTTCTTGGCAGAAGATCTCTTCCTAAGCCAGCCTGTCAGCTTCATACATCGGATATTCTCTTCCAGAAGTCCCGTGGACATTCTCCCACTCAGCCCGGCCCCAGGCGTTAGATGTCGGCATAGAGCACTCTGTGCTTCAGAGACCGATCCGCTGTAACGCAGCGATAATCTCATCTACAATGAAGCAAGCAGAGGCGACGCGTTTGATCGCCCATAAAGCTGGTGCCGCCTGCTTGATTAGTTTCCAGCTGGCCTCATTAGACTTCAGTTTGATCAATTAGTCAAGTATCTGTCAGATATTCAGTATATGGGTTAGGGTAGGAGGGTACAGCCCGTAGCCTCAACAGAAAAAACATATCCTCAGTTAGCAAAGCAAAGAAAGTTCGCTCCTTGGTATAACTCTCAAACCCATAAGTTAAAACAAATATCGCAAAAATTTGAAAGGAATTGTTGATTAACCAAACTGGAAGAATCTCGTTTAATCTGGGCAGAAAGTCTTTGAAATCTCTTTATTCTTTTATTATCTCCTAGTTCTTAAGAAATTATTATTAGAAGAAGATTCTTTATTGTCCTTTCTCAGCACAATACATACACTGAAACGAAATTTGACCTCTGCATTTGACCTATCCTACTGTATACACTGGGAGCAGTGGGCAGCGTCCGGGGACCAACTCCAGTTCTTTTGCCAATACCAGTGGTCAGGGTCACTGACAGGTGTATTCACCTAACATAGCCTACATATCTTTAATTATATAATTATTTCTATGTCTCTATGTACATTTTTACATAAATCCCCAATATTTTATTTGCCTTTAAAAAAATCCTCATCCTTCATTTAATTTGACAATGTTTATTGTATTGTATTATATGTATTAATTCTCTACAGGATCTTGTATGTTCTTTAATGTGTGTTCAATTTATTAAAAGAAAGAAAACAAAAAAAAAAAACATTTTGGTGAACCCTGCAGCAAAGTGAGCCCTCTTCCTCAGAGAGGATCTTTGTCCCATGAGAGCAGGCAGCATGCTCTCTGTGTCTGCATTTAAAACAACTTTTGCTGGCAATTTGACAGTCACTAGAAGCACATTATGACCCTTTGTAAAAGTTTTTGTGTGGTACCTGTGTTGTACATGAGCTAACGTTAGCGGGTAAGGACTAAGAGGCTGTCCGGTATGTGTGTGTGTCCGAGTCGGAGCTGCTTGCCAGATTGGGCATGTTTGCGCAGGGTCTGCTGGCCCGCCGGCTGTTTTTACTTGCCCCGGGCATTCAGGCAACCGTTAATGTCGAACCCTGCTATATATTCATAATAATCAGTATTCATCATTATTTTTCATGAAGTTAATTTTAAACTAATGATGTAATGTGCGTAAGGAGTCTAGATGTGAATTATACAGCAACTGTCCATTTAAAGCATAATGTTGGCCTAATAGAGCTCAAACTGTGACAGGACAAACGAAGCGCATCACTAAGGGACAGCTTACGAGTGGTTCAGACTTCTTAAGATCTACCAGTCAGAAGATAGATTCTCACTAAGGAGACTCTGGAAAACAGCCTGAAACTTAAGGGAGACTTTAAGATACAACTCAAGATGCATGTAGTGCTACGAAGGCTCTGGGACACGGGGCCCAGAGTGGTGGTACGTTTCTTAGAATGGTCTGACTTCTTGTCTGTAGTTCTCAGTTCCAAGTCCATTGGTTCCTACTGAAGACGTAAATCTTTCAAAACACCAACACAGTTTCATTTCTAAACTAAACAGGCAGTCAGAGTTTGTGGTTCATGTTTTTACGGTGAGATTGGATTTCTGTTTGAGGAGATCTGAACAGGATTATTGATACTGGTCCTTTAAGAAACAATTAGGAACTGAATCAAACAGAAAAGAACCTGAGCAATCAACAGGAAGCATTCAGACCAAATGCAAGGATTGGTCGAAGCTTACAGGGACGTTTCTGGATATAAACTAGTGACAGGGACGTTTCTAGATATAAACTAATAACAGGGAGGCTTGTGGATATAAACTAGAAACAGGGACGCTTGTGGACATAAACTATTAACAGGGAGGCTTGTGGATATAAACTGGTAACAGGGACACTTGTGGATATAAACTATTAACAGGGACACTTGTGGATATAAACTAGTAACGGGGAGGCTT